TTTTTTTTTTTAGAATAATTTTGTAAGGACCGAATTTAAACCGTTATTGAAAAAAAAAAAACATTTAAATGTTACTTAAAATCATTGAACCGAAGGCCGAAGTGTAAAAGAGAGAATCCATTTGAATCATGGTCATGTAAGATTATGTCATCAAATTGATAATTTAGAAATTACACAATTGTTTTAAGAAAAAAAAAAGTGAAATTTTTGGATGACTTAATGATCCACATCAGTATTTAACAACATGAAAAATGAGAACTGATTGTTGAAGGGGACCCAAATTTTGACCAAATTGCAGAAAGGTCAAAATATAACAGATCAGTTAACTATTTGGCCCAAAACCTGGCTCTAGCCCCGTATCCGACCCACAAACCCTCGACCCAAAAATTTTCGCCAGCCCACATGACTCATAAACCCGTCTTAAAATTCAAAAGATAAAGGCTTCATTTTCATTCGTCGAACCCACAAGCTCTTAGCCATCCCTTCCAAATGGATTGTTGCATTTTCAAGGTCCTAATTTCGTCGTCCCCCGCTTTTGTCATTCCCCGTCTCTCTTCAGCAACTCACTTTTGTTCGCTGTCTTTGTTTTTGGCCACCACCACCGACATCTATGGAAACAGATCACCTCATCATCATCAAGATTCATCCTTTCTTCCTTTTAAAGTGCTCAGAGTATTTTAAGTGATTTATCAAACTTTATAATGAGTAATGACTTTCACTTCTTTCCTTTTTTCTTTTTTTCTTTTTTTTTTCTAATCATTAAAATTAATTTTTATTTATTTAAAATTTTGATTTATTCAACAATTTCTCAGTAAGAAATGAACATCATACTAGTAAATCACCGTGATTAACATTTAATTCCATTCCATCAAAAAAGAAAAAAAACATTTCAAGTCATTTAAGTCAAGAATCACATTTGATTATGAAGCAAACATATTGTAGAAAAAGAGAGGTTTTTATTTATGAAGTAACATAGAGAAACACAAGTGATGGAAAAACAGAGACAAAAGAAAAATAAATGAAAATATATTATACAAGCATTTGCCGAAAGGTGGGAGATTATTCTCATCTTCAGTATTGTCCCACTTCACCTATTTTCACCATTCTACTACTGCTTTTATTCTAATTTCTTACAGGGCAGGAAAGGAGACAGTTGCCTGTTGCCAAAAACATAGAGAAGAATCATCCTTCCAAGGTAATGGAATTGAGAATCACAAACCATTACTTCATTTTCAGGGCAAATTCTCTTCAATTCTAGTAAACAATTCAAATACAATTCCCTTTTTTGGAAGAGTGAATATTGTAGTAGTTGTTTTGATTTCCTTCCTCTTCTTCCCATATTATTATTGACGCAACTCAAGTAATGCATTTCTCCACACACAAATATCATTTACTCCTCTCATTCTACCAGCAGTGGCAACAATGGCCAATGGCAAACCAGCACATCCATCCACCATAGGCTTCAATATCTCTTCTAAATGAGGAATTTCTAAAACATCTAACCCAACCTTATCTAAAAACAGGTTCAAAGACTCTTGCTCTGGTAGAGGTGGCACCTTAACTATTTGACATCTCAAATAGTTGCAGACATCAACTGATCTGCTAGTAATAACAATTTTGCACCCATTTTCAATTGTTGGTTCTGGGATTCCAACTCTTGTAAGATTAAATTTATCTCGCACATCATCTAAGATCAATGCATATTTCACTGTTTTCATAATCCCCATCAATCTTGATGCCCGCTCCAACTCATCTGCATCTTCTCGAAGGCCTTTGTTCATTTTTCTTGCAATGTCACCTTGTAATCTTACAACATTGAGTGGATGTGATACTGTGACCCAGATAACCTTTTCAAACCCATTAGCCTCATTTAGTAATTCATTATGGATGTGTTTCATAATAGTAGTTTTGCCAATTCCACCAATTCCACAAACTCCAATCATTCCCTCACTACCTCTCAAGTATCCCCAAATTTTTTCCTTCACATCAACCTTGCCCATCATATTCTCTGTTGGCAAAGGGATTCCAATAGTTGGAGGCCTTTCCATTACAAGACCTTCAGTGAAATTGCCTCGATCGTAAATTTCTCTCACCTCTTGAATCTTTTGACGAACATGTCTTCCAAGGCTACCACGTGACAAGTATGAAACATTCTTAACCTCTTCCTCAATATCTGACATATCAATGGCCTTCCTTGCACCTTCAAGCCATTCCTTCACTTCTTCTCTGACCATTTTTTCTGAGAGATCCACTACTCTTAGTTCTGCTTCTTTATCACTTCTCTTACGTTTTAAGTCTCCCACTCTTTTTTTTAGATCATCCACATACTTATGGCAGTTTATGTGACAATCTATGTGTTCTCCTACAACTCCAAGAACTCTTTCACGAGTTATTTCACTAATTCTTTCAGAAATTGGATCAAGAACTCTTTCACGAACCCTTTGAGGAACTTGCCCTATAACGGACTTCATGGAAAAGATAGCTAAAATGAAACAAAAAGGAGTATTATTAAAGTGCTCCTTCAAGTCATATATATTTGTATGCAAAAATTAAAAAAAAAAAAAGTTTTTTTTTTTGGTATCGAGTGATTAACAATTCAATTGTAACTTGTGGTTAAGAATTCAAGACAAACTCTACCAAATATATATATATTTATCCTCTAAAGGTAAAAAAGAGCAATGAAATACATTTCACAATAACCTCAGCCTGTTACTAATATTCAACACATTACAATACAAC